CCAAGGGAGAAAAGCAAAGCAAAGCCTCAGCCCTCAGGAGGCGGCTGGTAGCAAATTTCATTTTGCAAATCAGATGCAAAGTCCCGCGTACGCGCCACAGCAAACTGAATTTAAATCCCCGGATTCCTCCAGCAACTTTGTTGCAGCAGACGGGGTATTCTGCAAAAGCTTTGTTTAAATTAAGGCTTTTAATTAAATGGGGGGGGGAATAAAAATTAACGCGACGAGCGGAGCAGCCCTGGTTGTTTAATGGCGCAGCAGACTCCATTCCCCACATTTCTAATTGTCTGTGTGCTGCAAATTTTTGCAATGCCAATTCCCCACGGGGAGGAACGGAGGCTGAGCACGGGGACAGCTGTGATTTCGGGCAGCCAGTCGGTTACGCAAAATCGCTCGGGTTTCGCAGCCGCGCTGCCTGTCCGGCTCGCTGGGCCGGGGTCCTCCAGCACCGGTCTCTCCCCAAACAGCCCCTGGCAGCTCTGCGAGGGTGCAGTTGGGGAAGGGAGAAACAAAACAACCCCGGCTCCACTCCCTGAGGTGGCTGTGGGAGCTCCCGAGCAGGTTTAGGCCCAAAAAGAGACGGAGACTGAAGCGCTGTGCCCAGCAGAGACCAGCAAGAGCTGGGGAACACGTAGGGGCTGCAGGAGGTGAGGAAGGGGCGAGCAAGTATTTACACCTTAAGGAGATAACGTCTGCACAGCACTTTGCACACACACTCTGAGACATAAACATTAAGAATTGTCACAACCGCTACCACCAAAGTTAGGCCAGATCAGCAGCAACCCCGCACACCGAAAGCCTTTTCCTCCCACATTTTCTTTTAAAAACTCTGTGCCATCCTTTCCTTCCCCGGCCTGCAAGAAAAACCACGGCACGGGAGCGTGGACTTGGGGGGGGAATCTGATGGGAAAGCGGAGCCGGGATGCGACTTCCCCGCCGAGGATGATGCAGGGCCCAGATTTTCCTGGGAACGTTGCTGGAGCGCGCAGCAAGACCACGAGCCACCCCAAATCAAACCCCTGGCGAGCTCTCCCCGGGCCGGGCAGTGTCATCATTAACGGTGCCACTCATCTCCTGGAAAACACAGACTGGCAGATCTGGTTTGTCCGGCACTGACGGTGCTTTTAGGGTGTGAGATCTGTAGCAGCGAGAGCGAGATACGGAATAACCTACCCCGAAGCGATGTTTTCTCCCTGACCTTCCTCCTAAATAAAAGCCGCACACCCCACAGCGGGGAGGGTTGTGCCTCTTTACACCAGCGCAGCTCTCGAAACGCTTTCTCCCACAATTTCTTTCTACATTTCAAACCGTGGCGGTACAAGATGTTAAGAGAGCGGCGACTAAACCCACGGACAAGTCAGGTCCCTGCAGCTGGACGGCACTCGCTGGTGACACACGGCTCCTTCTGCATCTCCTAACACTGGGGGAAAGGAGATCCATACTGGTTTGCACTGGTCTGCCTCTACTGGGAGCCAACTTGCCGCAGGGGTTGCCTGGGCATCAATGGGCTGTGGCAACCGGAGGGCAGAAGCCCCTGTGCCCACCTCAAAGCCACTGTTTGCTCGGTGGTGGCGGGAGGGTGGGGGCTGCTGGGGAAAACTCCTCACGTGAAGCAATTTCCAAATGATTTTTGTTGCCGGAGGGCTGTGCCACCCAGCAACGAGCTACTCCCAGCTCAGCCAGGGCACTTCAGGCGCCTGACCTTAAAGAGCGGAGGAGACTGCGGCTATTTAAAGAGCAGAGAGAAGCCTTAAGCCCGGTAATGACGCCCCGCAGGTCCCCGAGGCGGGGAAGTCGGGCAGCAATGCCCCGCTCCGACACACCACCGGGACCTGATCCTGCTGCTTCCCCACCCAGGATGGGAGCAAAATTCAGCAGCTCTTTAATTTCTCCTCCAGCGGGGCTGGCTGTGAAGAGGCAGAGCCTTGTCGCAGGCCTCGTGGCCGCGTTCTCCACTTTTAATTAAGAGTTACCCAGAGGGAAAGCGTGGCGGGGTGGTTTTGTGCTCCACCCCGGCCCCTGCCTCACGCTTCCCCAAACCAGGAGAAAGCCAGGCAAAAGGGCTCGTTGGCCAAGGTGGTGGCAACACGTTGCCCGTCCTGCCACCGAACGCACCAAAATGCCTCTCGGCGCAGCAGCGTGAGCCGACGCGCAGGAACCCCGCGTTGAGCATCCTCAACACCGCCAGCCAGGGACGTCCCCAGCGGACCCCCAACGCCCCGAGTCGGCTTCTGCTGGAGCACGAGGAGCGAAAAGAAAACCTCGTTTGGGGCAGAAAGTCACACTCGGCGGCACAAAGGGGCAAGAGCCACGTTGCAATAGACGCTGTCGCATCCCTACGGGTGGACAGGGGGGGTCGCAGCCCACCAGCGTGGCCGTGCCAGGGACACGGGGAAGCTCCTTGCCCCAAGACGGGGCAGTCACAATCCACCTCCATTCCTCGAGTCACTCCCAAACCAAATGTTTTTTTTAATGAGGCTTATTCCCACGGATGCAGGGAAGGGTCCAAGCTGGCTGTGAGGGGCGAGGTGCCCGTTTCCAGCTCCCAAACACCCACCGACCTCCATCCTCCCGTCCGCAGAGCGGGGGAGACGCCAGCAGCGCTGCCCACCTGGGCCCACGCTGTCCCGGCGCGGGGGGGGACAGACACACGAGTGGGACCCTCACCGACCGCTTGCGCCCCATTCCCAGGGCAGAAGGCGAACGCATCCCGCAGGGGGTTAATTAGCTTAATTGCCTGCGAAGAAGGGAGCTCTGCGGAGGGTAGGAGGGCAGTGAGGTGCCCCATCCACCCCAGGGGCGTGCCCCCCACCCCATAAACCCACCTGAAGAAATTCAGTTTAAAG